AACGTCAGCAATTGTGTTCTAATAAATTCTATATTAACAACCTCGTATCTGCTTATTGATGAAAAACATTGATTCTAAGCAGTTTAACTGAGCGTATTTCTTGGTGTTAGTTTTTTTTATAGAGTTGTATTTTAATTACCAAAGGGATTGAACGGTGGGAACAAACAGGGAGAAACGGTGTCTTCAAATGCATATGATTTTGGGCAAAGAATTTGAAATTAGGAACTTGGCTTTCTCTTTTCTGTGACTTTTGAAGCTTCCACGATGTAGACTTTTGAAGCCAAAGTCAAGGGAACATTTCAGAAAAACAATTCATGCATATAGAGCGACAAGTCGGACCCTGTTCTAGAAGACCAGCAAGTTCGTAACCCATAAATTAGTGTAGTTATAAGAAATTGTAGGCAGCTATTAAAAAAATTAATATCGGGCGTTCAGCACTAGCATATTGCTCACAATTTTGCTGAGGTTATGGCTGTGAAAATAATTGGAAGCCCATATCTGCTCTATTACTGGTTGAAGCTCTAAATTCATTGTAATGTTGGCAAAACTGGCTGGCCTTGAGCGATTTCATGTCCTTGCTACAAGTTGTTAGCGTTCTCCAAAGCAGTTCTGCGACCCGGAGGCAATTGAGTGCTAGGGAGGTAAATATAGAACCATCAGAGGTCTTTCACACCAGCGTTGTCCCTAACTCGCCTAATAGCCCGAATGTTAGTGTTTGTCTCAGGCTTTGCTTACAGCCCAACCGAGAGGTGACTCGAGGCCTCACGCCCCTGCATTACGCCTGCTACATCAACAACTTGAGTGCGGCGAAGCTTCTGCTCACTAACGGCGCCAAGGTGAGCGAACTTCTGCCTCTCTTGCTAAATTTCACTTATTTCCAAACGAGAAACTGCCAACCCAGTTTTCTTCACAAGGTTTGTGCTAACCACTTGTTCACTGTTGTCATTTCTCACCACTTCTTCCTCTACCAAACGTTTTTTCTGGAATTGATTAAAACTAGAATCATGGCAATTTTCCGCCAATTCCATACCCATTAATTTTCTGTATTTAGCTCCTTTCAGCAATAATTTTATTCAGCTCAATTAGTGAAGTGGGTAGTCATCTAATTGAAAAAGCATGATTACCTCAAAACTGCACTACCTCATGTTCCATTTACTGTGCGACTTCCACAGTAGTGAGACCATCAGGCATCAAATCACAAATCTTCAAGTTTTTAAGGTTAAATTGTTCGCAGACAAAGGAAACCAGTATTGTTTCATATTCTGTAAGGGTTCTGAGCTACGAAACATTCAAGAGAAAGTTGTTTGCCGTCATGTTCCCAAAGGAGGAGCTACTAAGTTGATATTGTAAATGCCCAGATTTTGATCCTTGTTTTTCTATGCTCATTTATTCCGTGTTTGAGCACAGAACTTGTCATTGTAGAGTTTTCTAAGCTCTTCACGAGCTCATTGCTATGAAACTTCATTTTCCTGGTTATTTTATTCTGAATTTCATTCTCAGCTCATAAGAGCACTTGTTTTGAATATCCTTCTACGGCACTAGTCCATTTTTATTCATATATATATATATATATTTCGAAACCGACCTTCCCTAAACCTCGGTGTGACTAATCAATATGTATTCTTTCTTGATAAGCTTGCACGAGGTTGATAAGTATATTTATTTTCAGCTAACGTTTCGACGTCTTCGTCTTCCTCAGAGCCGGTGATCCAAGTCGATGGTCCATGCTTGTTGTTCGCCTCGACGTTGCGTCTTCGCCTTCCTGTCGAGCCAGATCTTCCTCAGCGAGCCATCTTCGAGAAGGGCGCAACGTCGAGGCGAACAACAAGCATGGACCATCGACTCGGATCACCGGCTCTGAGGAAGACGAAGACGTCGAAACGTTAGCCGAAAATAGATGTACTTATCAACCTCGTGCAAGCTTATCAAGAAAGAATATATATGTATATATGTTTAACTCTTCATGAATTATTTTTCTAAGGTTGACGCTGTTGACGAAGTGGGATGCTCTGCACTTCATCTGTGCGCAGAACATGGCTACTACAGAATGATTAAGCTGTTACTAGAGGTTTGCTGATGTCTGGCCCAAGTTTGTTTCGCGAGTTTCTTGCAACGTCAAATTCTTCATTACAGTACACCGAAACAGTACATCAATACGAAATACCGATAATCGGAGTAAATGGAAAATATCCGAGCCGAGAAAATATTGATGAACCCCTTCGATTAGCTATTAAGGTAAAAATAACAAGCTTTACCGTACCCATCTCGTTGAATTTTATAAAAAAGGACGCCGAAAATAGCGAATAGGAATGGATATTCCGAGAGCAGTTTTAAAAGTTAGCTGCTGTTTTAAAAAATGACTTGTTTATGATACTATATAAATTGACAAGGACGCGTGTGGCGCAGCGGTCGGAGGCGCGCTGCAGCACACACATGGGATCGATCCACGCGCTCTAGGCGCACCAAACCTTCCATCCCTCTGGGGTCGGCAAATTGGCACCAAACTTGTCTGGGAGGATAGCAGCACGTGTTCGATACATCGGTGGGCCACGACAAGTCCAGATAAGTACTAAGTCACCTCCAAACGGCGCTTAATGAAGTCGAATGCATGGCGCATCCCTCAGGGATTGATCAGCGCCGAGAGCTTTATCCTTTTATAAATTGATGTTTGCAGACGTCGATGTCTCTATTGCCTTCTGTTTATGGAAGGAGTTCATTGATGATATGTTGTAGCGGACAGTATTTAGGTTAGAGGAAAAAGTGGTTAGCTGACGACTGTCAGCTGACATCTCATCCCGAACAATGAAAATATCGAGCCGCTAGAATCGAGGCTTAGTGCTTTTGTGAACAGAGTGCTAGAAATCTTTTTGATTGCTTATCAACTGAGCCATATCCATCTGTACTGCGTGGTGTGTAGTTTACTACTCTCTTACTAGTTATGAATGTTCCGCCGAATTTTTCAGAATGGGCACTACGAATGTGCTCGTTTGTTGCTGCAAAATGGCGCCTCTCCGAATGCGATCTACTTCGACGGGCCGGAAATCACTCATGTCAGCCCTCTCGACACCAACTTCATCGAGCTTTTGGTTCGATCCCATATGGCTTGTCTTAAATTCTCCTTTCTTCATATTTCATTCTTTGGTGAAGTCAGTATGAAGTGAATTCTGATCGCCCTCACAAACTTGCCGGTCTTTCAAAATTTCCACTTCTACTGGAGTCATGCACTGCCAATCTGTGAAGCGAAAGCTGGAACAATTTATTGACTATAATTATTGATAATTACTGACTTTCAAATTTTCTTGTCTACCAAATCTAGAATAGTGGCTTAAGTCAATTTCTACAGCCTAGTAGAATATTTATCTTCCAAATTCTTCCTTAACACCTTATTTTTCATTCTTTTCCGGCTAACTTGGATACTTGAATACTTCGATGGCCCATCCTCACTGGTTGTTGCGGGCCTAAGCATAATCTCCACTTTTTAGGAGATTTACTGGTTTAGCCATTGTAGTTTCCTTGAATCCCGAGGTCAGCCTAGCCAAAGTTGGCCGAGCTCTTCACCACCACAGACAGTCGCACCTCTTATGGATTAGAGGGTGATTTGCCACTATGCGACTGCTTTGAAACCAGGACAGTGGTGGATCCTGGTATTGGTTTACTCTTAGCTAGGCTTCCTAATGGAAACGGCGGACTCCTTCTCAGCTTGGGAGAACCTGCCAAGAGAATGAAACCCCCGCTCTACATCGAAGCTCGACACCCAGGAGCACCTCCTAGCGAAGATGAGGCAGTAAACCGTTGAGAGGAGCCCTCTACCTCCTACCGCTCCTAAATTCTTACTCTTATTCAGTATTCCAACTTGATTAATTTTAAAACTAAATTCAATCCAAATTAGTTAGAAAATGAAACGTCGCAAACAACAATACTCTCCACGTTAAGCTTAAATATGGCGCAAATCCGAATGTGTTTGACCGTAAAGGACTTACTCCGATAATGAAGGCTTGCCGATTCAAGCAAAACGGCATCGAGGCAATCAGGTACTGATATTTTGGAATTGGTGACCAAAACTGAGGAACTGTTTCGAAATAAACCTTAAAAGAAAACTGGCTTTCTTAAAAGAAAGGTGAGCAAAGGTTTTGGAAGAGAATAGAACGTGGAAAACTTTCAAAAGCTGGGAAACATTGTTTTTATTTGTTCCTATAGAAAATTAACCAATGAAGTGAGTAGATTTCGGAATTGAATCAAAACCAGTCCTATTCAGGCATAACAAGAATAAAACAGATACACAAAATTTAAATATAAAAGCTTAGAATTCTTCACAAATATGGCGGAGACGTGAACGCGAAAGCCGACTTGCGTCAGGACTTACGCACGCCCATGCACTACGCCGTACTTAGTGGAAGCGCCCAGTTGGTGAAGTTCCTCATCGGGGTAGGTCAACTTCATCACTATGCGGTCATTAACAATGTATTCATTCTGTTAGAGCCCTTAAGTGGGCTTAATTGTGACAGTAGCTGGGCCACCTACACATCGTTACTTAGTTATGTAAGTCGATGACACGTATTCATGGTCACATGGACCCAAGCACTTCTTCCAGTTGTTTTTTTTGGGTTGTTTCTTTGGCTGCAACGATTACCTACGAAGGTGGTTTGAGTTCGGCTGCGATCTAGGCTCTGTGAACTTTTGTCCTCATATAAGCGTTAAATTCTGGTTGATTATGAGTTTTTTTGGTGTTCTAGGTTAGTCGTATTAGTACGTTCGCAGTTTCGTACCATAGTCAGCCAAGTACTAATCTTCGTGGGCCTAGTTTCCTAGAAGAACCTCTTTACGACTCTTCCAGAAAAGCGATTATTCTTGTAATAACTGAATTCTGTGGCTAGTCAATTGACCTCTCGGTAATTATATAAATAACCGCATCCCACACATAGTGATGTCGCTAGCATTTATTGCACGTTGTCCATCAAACACTGTTCCCATTTATCTTTTTCTCTATAGTCCCAGTTGCTTTAGCTTTCTTAGAAATCAATCTGTACCCACGGGAATGTTGGAATGCTTCGAAAATGAAGGTATCTCATGTTCGGCATGGTTTCGAGGCCGCTTGTGATAAGTAAATTTCTTAACAGTGTTTCAACGAGTACCCCGGTATACGCTTCATCATAAGAGAAAAAGTATTGTCTTTTCGAACGAGAAATGTTGCTTGAGATCTACCACTGTTCAATAATACTTTTTCCTTCACCGATAATACCGTGGGTATTGAGAGCGATGGGCCTGAGTTCTGTGGTGGTCACAACCTTATATTCGGATCTTTTTTCTTGAGAGTTCTTATTTCTTGGATCTCGTTAGAACTCCTACGCCCAGCCTCATCTTCACTCTTCACTTACTTCGCAGAGTGGATCTTCGTGATGCGTAAGTTGTACTCGAAGAAATCCTCCAGCTAAGCTCCTCTGTTATTCCGTTTTTCTATTCTACATTTGTGGAGCGTAGTTTTGTACACGTCTAGCCGTAATGTGATATATTATGCCACTTTGAGTTTCTGCACAATCATTAAAAGTCCTACTAGCCCTTAGGCTACACGATGCTGTGGACAACAGAGCTCGCTCTGCAAAGCAACTGAAGCTGTTTCGTTGATTTCTGAGCATTCAGCTTCTTCGATCCTGATATAGTAATGCTTGAATGTTCTCAGATGTTGGGAGAGAGTATCGCACGTTTGTGATATGGAAATAATTTTTGTGGAATTTACTGATAGTTTGAAACGCAATAGTCCGACTAGCGTAGCCTATCATCAACTAAGATGATCCTACTAGGTTCTATGTTAATATCACACTTTTCAAAGTACAGTTTCTTGCAATTATGAGGCTACTGATGCTTGAAATGATGACAATTCAGCTCGGGGCTAACGTCACAATGCCAAAAGGGTACAGAAAACCGTCAGTGATTGATATCGCAGTGCTTAAGGACGACCCAACAATTCTCAAGGTTTGAATTAGAATTTTTTTTATTTTTCCTTTCAAAGTAAATATTTTCACACAAGCTATCCATATATTTTTTTAACACGACATTTCGTTCAGATGGTTATTGAAGCAGGTGCTGATGTTAACGCCATTCATACTTATATCGGTTCGGCTCTACATCTTGCCACTTGTTCAGGTTCAAACATTAAGTAACAGTTACGAAAAACACCGATTTGACGAAAGCAGTCTTTTTGTTCTAGTCGTAAAATTTTATTTGGATGGAAACGTGAAGTCTCTTTTCGCTTAGGAGAGCAAGAAATATGTTAGAAATTGAATCATGTGATGAATCATGTTTGTTTTCGTGGATTTCATTAACACCTTCGTTTCAGTTCTCGAGCATCAGTACGAGATTCTGCGTCTACTTCTTGAGGCGGGGGCCGACCCAAACATTCAACATCGGTTCGATGACGGATCGCAGCTGAAGAGCCCTTTTGTCGAATATTTCCGATCCAGAGATGTGGTCAGTAGCGATGAAGTTCCATTTTTCTTCAAATCCTGAAAATCTGAAAACCTGTTGACTTTTCAGTTGGATCCACGAGTCGTTCATTTGCTCCTCTCTTACGGAGCTCGAGTGGTAATGCGTTCACCTTTAAGAGACATGCGCGGTCAGTTGAGAAACGTACTTCGTCTCGCCGCCACTCACGACCAGCTACAGGTGAATATCATCTGCCTCGTTAGGCTATGTCCAGACCATCAGAATATATGAGAAACATTTAATTCTAGCTATTGAACGCCATGCTCTCACTTGGGGAGGGGTATGACATCAGTGCTATCAACCGGCTTCCGATGTCGATAGCCATCAAAGGTGACATCCTGAAACGAGCAACGTGAGTTGTTTCAAGAACGAGGGTGTGAATTGGAACATAGTAGAATGAATGTAAGGAAAGGCAGCGTTATTTTATACTTCGCCTCTTTCACTACCTCGTCATAAGAAGAAGTAATGTACGGAATTTATTTAAAATCTATTGTTTCTCGTTGTTTGCACAGATGGAAATCCATTTGTAGAGGTTTCAGTTTCACCAAGTCGGATTTCACCGCATTCCATAGTTGCATTGCAGGAATCCTGCCTCTCTCCAGCAGATCTGTCGCCTATATCTGCGCTCGGTGGTGAAGCCATTCCGACCAGATGTCGTTTCTCAACTGCCTATTCCCACTCACATGAAGGACTACGTAATCGGTAGGTTGCTATGAGAGCCTCGTCCTACGGTCAGGTGGCGACGCTATGCGACCAAACTTGCCGAACAATTTGAAGAAAATACCTGTGAATTTTTCCCTATTCGCTTCGTTCACTGTGTTTACGGTTCTATAAGAGACGGGGCAGCTGGCCCTAATAACCGTTTTGGGTGTTCTGCTTTCAAGCAACGAGTACCTCGATCCCTAGCAAATATCATTGCTTCACATACTTTCAATTTGTGTTAAGAGTGTAGGATTATTCTATGAAACAAAGGTTACCATTAAGTTTCTGTTCCTATTGTTCCTTTCATCACTGACGACTCGGGTAGCTTTGGAACTCATACTTCACTTTCGAGTCATTGAGGTGATTTCGTTGTTTTGTGTTACTATGTTATCATGTTCCGTTTATTTGATGTTCTAAAATGATATCTGGAAAAATATTTATCGTTCGCTTCGTTAAGATATAAATATAATTCTGTGATGGATGTTGGAGAAATTGTGCCAAGGTAATTTACTCCGCTCAGGAACAGCTGACTAGGTGCTGATCCATATGCTAATCTGAAACCGATCATTTCGCCCAGATGTGGCTCAGATTTGCCGAGTAGTTAGAGCATTCAATTTAATGGTTAAAATTTGAATTCTTCCCAATACTTTACCCTTTTTTGTAATTAGAGGTTGGTTCTTGGTACCAAAGTGGAATGTGGAACGGTAGTTTCACTTAGTTCGATATTTCCATCTGGAGGAGCATTTAAAGGTAGCCCTATGCCTCAGCTGAGCACCGCGAGGTATTCGTGGCTATATTCTCATTTCACCAAAACAATTTAAAAGAGAATTATGCCAAAAGCGCGAATGCTGATTGTGTGCCTCTGCTGAGCATAGCACAAAGAGTAGCTATTGCGCGATGACCTTGGTCCAAGTGCCCTCTCGAATTACTCGATACTTAACAGGTGGTATTGGTGATGTGGGAACTAGTCCTTAGGCGCAGAAGAGCAAATGACTTCATTGACATGATCGCTGCAATATGAATCGATTTCGATGCGTACGTGTCGTGAGATTTAACCCTTCAGTGACAAATCAGCAAATATCAGTTGATGGTAAGCTTGCAAAAGTAATTACAATCTCAACATCTTTGCCGACTGGTCACGTCTTCTCATTCTACAGTGAAAAATCTCCCTACTTTTTCTAGCTCGTAAGTCGTTTTCTTCCACTTTTTGTTGTCGGAGGGCGTATTTCCAGTAACGAAATGGTGAACACGCATGACACCGTAGTTCCAAAATGCCCAGTTGATGCTGCTTGCTTCCGTGCCAACACCAAAAGATTGAAACCCCTATTGCGGTTTCAATCTAAAAAATTAAAGAAACATTATCGAAAACCCACCTTCTTTTGACCTCGGGGCGAATAGTTGTACCTTTGTTATAATCATAAACTTGCAAAAGATTGTTATTAAAAAACTCTATCAGTCCTTCCTTCACTGATAAGCTAACACGAGGTTGATGGAAAATCTTTCAAAGCTTTAACAATAAGAAATAAAAGCAGTAGGAAAAGCTCAAGTAAAAAATATTTGTCAGTCTTGTATTAGCTTACTAGTGAGAGAATGCATATTGATTAGTCATACCGAAGCTAAAGGAAAATCGGTTTTTAAAATATCTACCACCTCTCTTAAAATAAACTTTAGAGGAGTTGTATTGCATGTACTTGTACTTGTAGAGCAATGAGGTAAATTACGGTTCTGTAGGTTTGCCCCATCCTCAGTAAGTCTTCATGCTCTTCATTATCACGAAACCAGCACTGTCATGAATGGTTTAACCCCCATCCTTGAAGTTGTTATCATCAATCGCTTAAAGTGTACGTTGAGAAGAACAAAATACAGTAACTTATGAATGGAAGCTTTCACATCCGTAAAGATAAATAATTTATGATTACCCAAAACAGCGATCACTGGTAGTACAAACAAGAAATAAATCACACTAGGGGTTATTGGATTTCCATGAAGAGAAAGTGACCCGACCGAAAAATGTAGCCAAACAACAAAAGCGTCAACACCGTAAGGAAAACGAAACAACAACAAAATACAACAAAATGATATCTATAAATATTACGGAAAAGTGTTAAGCGAACGAGGTAATCACATGCGCACGAGAATGACAACCACCGGCAGAAGGCAGACGAGCGCTACACCCAGGTACAAGAACATGTTGTCGGTCTGAAAGAACCATGTGTAAGATTGAGCGGGAAACTTCTTCCGTGGAACCAGGTTTGAACAGAACGACTTCCGTATTACCCAGATGTTATTGGCGTTAAAAATGAGGTATGAAGTTTAGACAGAATTCTAACTGGGTTCCCTTTCCAACTGGTAAAAATGCAATCCTTCATTGCAAAATATCCCTTCTCATGTAAAAAAAAATAAGTTGGCCTAAAAGTTGCGCAAATTCAAGTAAACCCCGTGGTTCAAAAGTTGATTTGATTCATCCTATGAGTATATGTAAGGATTAAACATAAAAAAAAACATAGATGAGCGGAGGGAAACGTGCCGTTTCCCGTCTGATTCCTCTATTTAAGTGTCCATTTGCATAGTTGCAAAGCTCGTTTTCATGAGTAATTCGGGCAACAGCACATCTTTCGTTCGTTTCGTTCTCGCTTAATCGTCGTCCATTTTGGTGGTCTGCTTCGAACATGTCTCATTAAAGTTCCGAGTAAATTCCATGATCCATCAGTAGTTTACACATAGCAGTGGAAATGGCTGACAAGAGTCACGAACACTTCCACAGATCGTCCGAGAGGAGGCCTGTATCCTCTTGGAGTCCAGTCTACGCTTCTTTTCGCCCATCTATCATCTTTTATTCTTATTATATGATATACCGATGTTTCAATACACCCCTATCGATGCATATTCCTGGATCTCGAAAATGGGATAGGTTTTGAAGATCTGAACCGCGAATTTCCATTAGACATTGTGCGTGCTGGTTAAATTTAAGAAGTCTCTGCTCTGTAACAGAACAGTGAGAGGAGTAAAACCATAACGGTGCAGAAATATTTGCAAAGCCCTTTAAAAATTCATCTCAACTCACTGGTACATCTTGCAGTAACTGCCACGACCGACTTTCTATTAACCTCGGCATTGATCAAGTGATTTTCTTCGTATTTTTGTTGAGGTGGAAGCACCGGTGACTGATCTCGGGCCGCTACTCTACTGTAGGTATGTAGACGACTGCTTTGTCCTTTACTCAACACAAGAGGAAATGGACAAATGCTTCGAATTGTTAAACGCACAGTCAGAGTATATCAAGTTCACCCGAGAAAAGCCGAAAGAAAAATGGCTTCCATTTTTGAACGTACAAATTCACCTATCAGAAAATGGCTACATTACAAAGTGGTACCGAAAGCCAAGTAGTAAAGATATCTTGGTTCATTACCTCTCCTCTCACCCCTCTCACACGAAAAGGGCGCTTATAAGAAACATGTTTCGAACAGCAACCAACGTGTGCACGGGAAGAGAGCAGAGAGAGGAGTCCCGGAACTTGGCACGGCAAATAGCCGTTTCTAATGGCTACGAAACTGTAGCTCGGAATAGGTGTAGAGAAAATCGTAGGCCTCCAAACGACAACTCTAGCGATAGAAGGTTTTTTTTTAACCTACCCTTCATCTCAAATGATATAAGTACAGCTATAAAACGCTGCTTAAGAAGGGCGGGCTTAGAGAAT